AAAAAAAAAAAAAAATTTTTTTTTTCTTCAGTCCGTGTGATAAACAGAAAGTTTTCCTCAGTAACAATTTAAGTTTAAAAAAAAAAAAGTGAAGTCTCAAAACACTCTTCCTAAGTGGCTAGTCTTTGTGTGTGTGTGTGTGTGTGTGTGTGTGTAACTGGGGATTGAACTCAGGTCCTTGTGCTTGCCAAGCAAGCGGTTATTCTACTGAGCTATCTCCCCGGCCCCAAGTGGCTAGTCTTAAGGTGGTAAGAAAATATTTCTGTACCAGAAAGAATGTTTCTGTGATTCAGGCAAGAGTGTCCTTTTCTTTCTCCTACCTTTTATTACCTCATCAAAGGACATGTTCATTTGAGAAGGTGTAGTACTGAATTGGAAGAAAACCAGGTAGAGACATGAGAGGAAGCCCCCACATCTTCAACTACCTTCTGCATTAACCCTCTTCGAGAGGGACAGGAATCCCAGGTCATTATAATTGTGGTTCAGCTGACTTAGAGGTGACATCTTAAGTGAGGATTTAAAAAAAATGAAATACCATTTACCAAAACTAAGTTTCGTATTAACTCACCAAGCTAACATTAATATAGATTCATTTTAGGTTACCAGGTAGCACTAATTTTTTTTTTTTTTTCAGAACCGGGGATTGAACACAGGCCCTTGCGCTTGCCAGGGAAGTGCTTATTCTACTGAGCCATTTCCCCGGCCAGGTAGCACTAAATTTGAAACCTGAAGTCTTGGGTGCTATCTTTGCCTTGTGGCTTATTGTGTGGTCAGGAATAAGTCAAATGACCTCTTTGTTTTCTAGTACCTTTTTATTTTTTTATTTTTAAATTTGTATTTATTTATTTGTGTGTGTGTGTGTGTGTGTGTGTGTGTGGCCAGCTCAGCCCACCAGGCTGGCTGGCATGTGGTGCTGGGGGATTGAACCGTGGTCCCTGTGCTTTGCTAAGCTTGTTCTACGTAGGTGCTTTAGACCAATGAGCCATCTCACCAGCCCCAGCAGTACCCTTTTAATAGTTGGGCTAACCATAGGAAAATAATATTGGACCCAAATGCTGATCTGTTTCCTTTGGCCCTGAAAACTCCAAAGAACTCTAGTGAGGACCTCTTCAAATCAATAAAATTTACAAGTTGGGAGAAGCTTGTCGCCCCTTCCTTCCTTGTGTCCTGAATGAAAGAGACAGAAACTTAGAACCAATAGAGCAGCAATATTTCATGCTAAAGCCCAGAGCTAGCAAAGGGTAACTACTAACCAAAGCAAAGCAGTACTGACCTGGTACACTGGGGAAACCTGGGCAATAAGCTAAGCGACTGCCACTGTCCCTTCCTGGCATGTGGTCTTCACCAGTGCTTGATGCTGTTAGTGAAGGAACAGCACAGCCTTCTATTCAGTATCTGCTCCAGAAATAGACTCATAGTAGGCACAGCAAGCGAACAACATCCCACCAGCAGTTGCAAGGCATGGCCCTCCCAGGCAGGCTTCCCCAAGGATAATTGCTGGAAGTAGGAAGATTTACTCCTTCTGGGCCTGCCTTGGAATGAGCCCTCCAGGCTGAGAAGTGCCCTGGCTACATGAAAAAACAAAACAAAACAGTATTTTCTTGTAAAATTCTCAACTATCCCAATCAGCTGTGGCCCTATTTCAGTTACAAGATTCAAGACAAGATGCTGCTAGAGCAGAGGTTTGTGAGAGGGCTGTTTATTCAGGGGCAGGTTGTTTAAGGCACAGAGTCATCTAGCCAGCATCTGTTGAGTTCTTGCCATGATCATGGTGGTAAATAAAACAAAAGCCTGCCTTCCTGCACAGAGTGCTATAGGGGTAAAAAGGCCTGCCTGAGTAATATGGAGGGCAGCTTGGAGAGCCCTTGGGAAGGAAAGGTAAGAGTCCTGGGCCAGTCAGGGTGGGGTAGTAGAGAGGGGGTGCCAGGAAGCTAAGTAGCAGTGAGAAGCAGCAGGGTGAAGACCGTGGGTCAAATAGCATCACAGAGAGGAGGGAAAGCACAGGAGCCAAGGCTTCAAAATGAAAGAAAGTTTGGAGGGTCCCAGCAGTTAAGTGTATCTCGAATCTAGAGAACACAGGAGCAAGAAGAGGGCAAGGCTACCTGTGAAGGGCTTTCTAACCATGGCAAGGAGTTGGGAATTTAGGGCAATAGGGAATGTATGGGTCATTTTAAGAGGGGCAGTGATGAGCTCAGATTTATATTTAGGAAGTAGTTATGGCTTGTGTGGGCTTGGCCTGAGTAAGTTATTTGGGTTTATAAGTATGCATGATACGTCTACGTGAAATGACACGATTCAAGGGCTTCTGGGTTTTCTTTTCTCTTTGTTTTCAATTTGTTTTTTTTTTTGAGGCAAGTCTCACTATGTAGTTCAGGGTGGCCTCTAACTCATGGTGAGCTTCCTGACTCAACCTCCCGAGTAGGGGCAGGTATGTGCTGGATGGAACCTGGAAAACCGTGCCAAGCTCTTTGTTTTTTATTATCAACTTGACTTATTTTATTTTATTTTATTTTTTTATTTTTTGGCAGAACCAGGGATTGAACTCAGGCCCTTGTACTTGCCAGGCAAGCACTTATTCTACTGAGCTATATCCCCAGCCCCTTATTATTTTTTTTTCAAGTGCTATACAAATATAGCACTTGAAAAATGTAAGCACGCATGACGGATAGTAGTTTTCAATGATGGCCTTATCTGTGTATCACATCCCACACATTCGTGTTACAATGTGATGTGGACACTCTCCCATTGAGATGTTGGGCCAATACTCCCCCAAACCTGGCAGAGCTGTGCAACTGTCTAGACAACAGTACAGCACAGGTAATGTGACTTCTGAAGCTAGGTCATAACAGCTCTCCATCTGCTCCGTCTCCTTCCTTCTCCCCTTCTCTCTCCACTCACAAGACTTAGCCCTAGCCTTCAAGCCTGCTCTGCTGAGACCAAGGTGAATGAAGATAAATGGTTTCTGCAAAAACCATGCAGATTCATGAGCAAAATAAGTATCACAGCTTAAACCATTAAATTTAGGTTTGATTTGTTGCAATAGATAACCAACAGCCTTAACCTAGGCTTCAGAATTTAGCTGGGCACGGTGGCACATATCTGAAATTCCAGTTGCTTCGGACACTGAAGCAAAAAAATGGCAAGCTTGAGCCAAACCTGAGCAACTTGACAAGTCCCTGTCTCAAGAGGATGTAGTTCAGTAGTAGAGTGCTTGCCTAACATGCATGAGGCCCTTGGCTCTATGTCCAACATCATAAGACAACCAAACAACAGATTTTATGTAGCTAATTTCAAGTACTTTATTGCATGAGCCCTTTAGTTTCTGATAGTTACAGAATATTAGTACTCTTGCTATCATGGCATGGAGAGACGCGAAACTAGATGCAGAGGTCCAATGGTGAGATGGTTGCAGTTGTCGAAGAAAGAGATGACAGTGACTTGAGAACTTCAGTGACCACTTAGGATATAGAATGTTCCAGGAAAATGTCACTCACACCCTAACAGAAGTAGCTCTTCTGGAGCCCCTCAGAAACCTGAGGTCACAAGGTGACCAAGGGTAAAGCCAGTCTAAAAGCTGAGCTCCTCCACACATGAACTGCTTCAACTCCAGCAAAAATACAATTACACAAATGGCCAAGAGGAAACCCACAGAAGTGTTAAAAACTCTAAAGACTACATGTAGGCTATTGCATTAGTTTAGAGTAGCTAGGCATTCTTCAGACATGGAGTGTCCACCCTCACAAATACCCTGTTTTCTATAGGCTTTCTCTGCAGCTCACAAGGAAAAGGGAGCCAGGAGCAAGCTTTCCTCCTTGTGGTGCAGGCATGCAGGGGTTGACCAAGGCACTGATGGGGAAAGCTGCAAAAAGCCTTAACTGCAGGCTGGGGATGTGGCCAAGTGGTAGAGTTCCTGCCTTGTATGCACAAGGTAAAGCCCTAGGCTCAAGCCCTAGCAATACACACACACACACGCACACACACGCACCTTAACCGCTGCTAGGTTTCATAGTGCAGGGCTATAAGCCTAGTGCTCTGGGAGGGTGAGATAGGAAGATCACAAGTTCAAACCCTTCCTAGGAAATTCAGTAACTTAGTGAGACTCTGTCTCAAAATGAAAAGTAAGAAGGGCCTGAGCTGGGATATCTCAGGCCATAGGTCCTGAGTTCAGTCCCCAGTGTCACC